GCATCTTGATCGGATGGAATAGGGGGTGCCGGGGAGAACTGGGCCTGCGGCTGAGAAAACAGGAATTTCTTGTTACTCTGCAGGGATTTGTTTTTTCTTCTTGTTTACCGGATTTGCTTGTGGTAGCCGATGCGGTGTTGACAGAGCAATCCCGAATTCAATCTCGGGAGCCGCGGCCCCTGGGAAACAGGGGATATTCCCTAATGGGATATCGTGACTCTTACATTGTCAAAGGCGTAGGTGGAGGCGTTTTCGGAGGAAGAATCGTGCTCGATCGAGACGCCGGAATGGTACAGCAGACAGTGTTGAGTTTGGCAAACCTTAACCCGTCTACTCGTACTCGAGTATAGCAAGGGAAACATTTTTGTGCGGTCTTATTTTGTGGGTTGCATACCGGTATGAAACTATCGTCTGGGACGAGCATCGGGAATGTCCGCGGTTGTGCACGAGAGCCAGTACCGCTAGGCTACCAAGCGAGTGTCATGCCAAGTTGGTCACCTATTATCACTCGCAATCATCGGAGAGCGATGCTTTTATCAGTCGCAAGATACGCATACTAACTTTAGGGGCACAACCTCCTATAAGTACCAGCAATCTGGGTGCCCAGGGGAGCGATTGGAGCGGCGGCTCCGCAAAGACCAAACGGCCCGGAAAGTCAGATAGAGGTGTTTAAAAGTGAAGAAAACCCAAGTAGACCTGAGTGTTCTGGAAGCGCTTCTTAGCATAACTTCAAAGCACAGAATCACTAGAAATACTGGCACTTGTGGGGAAACCCATCTACCTAAGCCACTCATTCTCTGAGGGCTCTACTCTTATTTGATCTTGTTCCCGGTAAGTTATAATATCATACAATACCCGAAGTCGAGACGAGGCTTGCGCCGTCGCCGTTGCTAGCCTTTCGGCACCTCTTGGCACCCCTAGCCCCTCCATTTCCCCCCTCCCCACCTTTCTCGAGCTTTGTAGCCCCTTTCCCCACATGATTCTACGCCCCTCATCCGCTCTTCTTGGAAGATATTTCATCAGGTCCTCATCCCCCCACATTCCAACATCCCTCCAACCCTCTCCTTTACAGCTTATTAGCCAGAAGCTTGCTGGACTGCAATTTCGTACCCAACCCAGGAACAACTCCTCTAAGAAAGAAAACATGGCACCGCAACTTGATGGTTACTTTAAACAGTGAGTATAACCTTTCTCCTTTTGTCTGTTAATCACCCCGGTTATCAAAACGTGCTAGTTTGTTTGCCCATTCGACCACGGAGTATTATTGATTGGTATTTAGGGTTGATTTGATGGCGGACTCGTTCATCAATCGTTCGTGCCCATCTGATGTTGTTTTTACGGTTACGAACACTGTTACTGAGAAGAGCCAGGCCTTCGCTCTGCCGTTGCTATTCCATCGGTCTCGGCTGTTCCGGACCTGCGTCCTAAGGTTGTCGCTATGGCTGATTTTCTCGAAAAGGAACTCAAGGCACTTGGTGCTTCCGTTGAGAAACGTTTGCCCGGGAAGCAGCCCGGCCATCCCAGCCTCGACCTTCCTCCCATTATTTTGGGTAGGTACGGTAGCGATGCCAAGAAGCGCACCATCTTAGTCTACGGGCATTACGATGTCCAACCTGCTTTGAAGGAAGATGGATGGGCTACAGATCCTTTTGACTTGACTGTAGATGAGCAAGGCAGGATGTATGGAAGAGGCAGTACCGATGACAAGGGGCCTGTGTGAGCTCCATCCGTGATCCCTAGGCTTCAATTGGAGGATGTGCTAATGTTTGTCCGCAGCCTTGGTTGGATCAATGCTATCGAGGCCCATCAGAAGTAAGCATATAATCCTTTTAATTTTTTAATACTTCTCGTCTCTTTCTCTAACAAGCTTTAGAGCTGGTGTTGATTTCCCTGTAAACCTTTTGATGTGCTTTGAAGGGATGGAAGAATATGGTTCCGAAGGTCTCGATGATGTAATAAAAGCGGAGGCGAGTAAATTTTTCAAGGACGCAGAGGCTGTGTGCATCTCCGACAACTATTGGCTTGGGACTGAGAAGCCATGTCTGACATATGGCCTCCGGGGATGCTCGTACTACTCGCTTACTGTTTCGGGACCCGGTCAAGATCTACACTCCGGTGTTTTTGGTGGGACAGTCACCGAGCCCATGACAGACCTCGTTAGATTGCTCGCAACTCTCGTTGATAGCAAAGGAAAGATCCAGATTCCCGGTTTGAACGAACTCGTTGCTCCTTTGACCGATGAAGAGAAGGAGCTCTACAAGGATATCAGTTTTGAGATGTCAGATCTGTACCAGAGTCTTGGCAGCGAAACGAGCATCCACTCGAATAAGGAGGATACTCTGATGGCCAGGTGAGTTGGAGAAGCTTGTGCTGCTGTTATTTGTGAGTTAGCACATCTAACCCCAGCACACAGATGGCGTTTCCCAACCCTTTCCATCCACGGCATCGAAGGGGCTTATTCGGCCCCTGGAGCAAAGACCGTCATTCCCGCCAAGGTTATCGGAAAGTTCTCCATCCGCACAGTTCCTAACATGGAACCCGATAAGGTGGATGAGCTGGTCTTTAAGTCTGTAGATGCCGAATGGAAGAAGCTTGGCTCAAATAACACCATGAAGTGTGAGCTTCAGCATTCTGGCAATTGGTGGGTTGCGAGCCCAAAGCATTGGAACTTTTCTGCCGCCAGTAAAGCTGTTGAGAAGGTTTTCGGTGTCAAGCCAGACTTTACCCGTGAGGGTGGCAGCATTCCCGTAACATTGACCTTTGAGCAAGCTACTGGGAAGAACGTCTTGTTGCTTCCCATGGGCAGCAGCACTGACGCCGCTCATTCCATTAACGGTGAGTTTCCCGTATCTTCTTTGTGCTGAATGTACCATACTAATTTAGCACAGAAAAACTTGACAAGAGGAATTACATTGAAGGGATCAAGCTTCTGGGGGCATATCTTCATTACGCTGCGGAGGAGGCACAGGTCTAGCTAAATTCCTGGAAAAATCAATATCCATGGTTTCTTATTTAAAAAAATTTATATCAATAACCTACAACTTGTTGAGCGTGAATAAAGTTGGTGTTGATAGTGAAGCCTGGTCGTAATCGACCATCAATAGCTTTCGAGGACTTCGTTATGCTTGAAAACTAGGGCCAACCTTGGGCAGCACCTCGTTCAACCATTCACACTTCCAATAGCGGCTATACCAAGAAATATATAGACAAACGTCCAAGTTCGGCTTAACATTCTGGCCAACAATACTTCTGTTTGTGAACCGAGTGATTACACATGACCATAAATGATTTAGAATGCTCCTGCCCGTACATGTATCATACTATCGCCGTATTCCCGGAGACATTGACTGTATACCCGAATACCGATCACTACCGAAACCCCAGCAGTAGGCTAGCTCCTTTCACCAACGGTACCGTGCACTCATCCGACACCCAAACTTCCTTAGGCCTAATATCATACGATACCAAGGAGCACCTTGACATCTCAAGAACCCCAGCGCTGCAACAAGAAAGCATACGGTAATGTCCTACAACCAACACAGCGTTAACCACATGAAAACCCACGGGCAAACCTACCCCCATCTACGGATCCGCCCCGGCGCATCAACCTCGTACTACCCTGCAAAATGAACGCCATTGGCACGGTACCGGTCTCACGGTAGCTGACGTTTACCCCCAATCCCCAGTTGGCGCTTAATCATCACCCAGGACATGCGCCCCACCACACCCGGTGGTACAGCACAAGAACCCTTACCGGTATGCTTCATACGCAATCGTGTCGCACCGCATGCGCAGTCTTCTTCCTGCGATACGGTAGCCATTATTACCCGCCGCTTACGGTACCCCCGTGGTGTTCATTCCATTTCAGAAGGGGTGCATAGGTTCTCACTCGAGATTGCCGTTTTGAGACACGGTGGGATATGGTTTCAGTATGAGGGAGGGGAGAGGGGAGGGGGGAAGGTGGAAAGGGGCTGTTTCTCAGTGGGCTGGGCAAGTACGGCTTACAGCTAGGAGGTGATAGAGGTAGGCGGGTAACTTGAGACGTGTCTCTACTGATACCGAGATGACGGCAGTGGAATTGCGAGTGGATCGAGAAAAGCGAAATGGGCATCCCTGGAAAGAAGCTTGGGTATCCTCTATTGGGCGGTAAGTATGACATACCGTGTGTACCGGCAGTCTACTAGCATTGATTCTTTTTTTACCCCCTCCCCTTCCCCTCTGGCCCAATGGGGGGGCTCACGTGATTGATGATCAAAGTTAAAGTTGACCGTCGCTTCCACTATACTTCAATAATGAAATTATCCTAGTCCGCCGAACCGGCATATAATGAACCACAATGCAGAGGACTAAACACCTCGCCATAATGAGTGGATAGGCTCAGAGGGGAAACCCGAATCGCAATTTATACAAAAAAGCTCTCGGTGAGGAAGGAGCACCTGAGCTGGATTCGAATGCAGTGTTCCAAAATTGATACCGGACCTCCCCCCCCTGTTGGCACGATGCAAAAGATCCTTGCCTGCCACGGTTGAAGGCGAACGATCGCAGTGTCGGTAAGGTGGACAGATTTCCAATTCCCAGATAATTGCCTTACTCCTCCGTCTCGTCTGCCGCTCTGTTCCCTTTCATTGCCTTCCTTCCTTTTTATTCTCAAGCGCGATCGTGGGTTGTTGCTACCGACCGACACACCAAACATCGCGTCCGGAGGAGAGAGAAAAGAAAAAAGAAAAATACCGTATCATACCATTTCCCGACTGCGCTCTCGCTTGCGGTAGGTAGGTAGTACGGTGTCGCGATATTCTATGGTATCGTGTTGCGGATAAGAGATAACGCGATAATTAGGGCCTTGTTTCATCATCATCATCATTATCGTCATAACCATCCACTGGGTGCGAAAACGTGGCCTGTTGGCACGGACGGGATTGTGTGGTTGCCGCCCTTGGGTGAATCACGCATCGAACCGATCTGTTTATGTACTGTTCCGGCTGCAGATCTGCTAAACGGTCAAGGTGGTGGAGTGGTTAACACGTTCGCCTGCTATTACCTCGGTAAGCTGTTTAGCGGATGCCTTCGGGCGCGCAGGTTCGAATCCTGTCCTTGACGCATCTCTTTTTTTTTTTTTTCACTTCTTTCTTTGATCATCCTTTCTTTTTTTTTTTGTCTTCTTCACACCCGGCTGGGTTTGGGCATTCTTGCCCGCTTGGATGTGTGGGCGGGCCACACATCATTTGAGAGCCGGTGTGTGCGCGCGTGTACCACCGGTATGTGTGTGTGGCACCTGTCTTACTTATCATACCGGTGGTACCTATAATACTCGAGTGCCATAGATAGATATACGAGTAGATAGGAAGACGATGATGATGAGTTTTTTTTTTTTTTTGCTCTCACTCTTTTTTCTCCAGTTTATCGACCCGGATCGCCCGCCGGGTGCCTCACTCCCATACTAGGATAATATATTTGATCGAACCATCTCGAGCCAATCAATGTATGATACCCCCCCACTGCCATCTACAACGGGTACAGTAACTTGTCCGTTTTTTTACCGGCCACTCTAGAAAGGGTATAACAGTCACGGCAGTATCCACCCGCGGTATGATACCCGTACCGTACGTACGGTGCGATATCGCAGTAAAAAAAAAAAAAAAAACCCCGGCTATCGGTAGACAACAATCTGATGGATGGATCCAGGAAATGATTTTTCCTTAGCCACGCTGCCCAAGAAAGTGTGTGAGATTCACAGCCAGGTTAGTGAATCGTACCCGTGCCCGTTACCTGAATTCCGTTTGTTTCTTTCTTGGCGGTAGGAGGTAGTAGGTATTATAGGTATAGTAGTAAGTAAGGTAGGTAGGTACAGTGTATTACCTACCGGTCTGTGTGATATTGTCTATTATTATTTTAAAAATAAAGATAAAAATAAAAATAAATAACATAGGGTACTGTGGTGATGCTCTGTTTCTATTATTGCACAATACTATTCGAGTTATTGGTGTTGAATGAGTGTGGGTGGAGTGCTGCGCTGAGTGGTATATATAATATTATGTATGATACTGTACTAGCTAGGGAGGGAGGGAGGTTCGAAAGTTCTCGGTACGGTACACTGCAAACTGAGTACAGTGCATAGCATATCCTCATAAGAACAGGTGCCACCTGTACAAACCATTATCAGGACTGGTATATGGTGTATTACAAGTGGTTTGATTTTTTTTTCTTGCTTGCTTGGTAAGGGTTACTACTATCTTATAGTAAAATGGCTGTCAGTATGCTGCATCCCCTTCTTCTTATGAATAGGTAGGAGGTTTGTTGTGTACTGTACTGTACTATATTTTCCAAAAATAAATAAATAAATAAAATACACAACACCCGTCCGTACCTTCCGTGTACTGTACCGAGAACTTCGAGCCTCCCTAACTGTACCGTGCTATATGTAGGAGTACCGTACTGTACAGTACCGGTACAGTTGTGGCTCGTCTTGACTTGACTCGATTGACCAATTGTGATTGTACAGTACAGTTACTGTGTGGTCCTTCCCCCTTCATGATATGATACCGGTATCATAATAACGGTATGTGTCATGCATGCAAATCCCGAGTACAAGTATTGATTGCCAAGAATGACAATGTCGAGATTGTGGACCTTTTTTGGTTGCATATCATACCTTTCTCGAACGAAGAAGAAAAAAGAAAAAAGAAAAAAAGAAAAGAAAAAAAAAAAGCGTCACAAAGATTTAAATAAGGCGCAATACAGCAAGTTACCCAGAGCAGAGCAGGCTACGGTGCAGTATCCAATTAGTCAGTCAGTCCAGTCATCGCCCACCTCGCCGCCTTCCCCCCCCCCTCCCCCCCAATCCGCCTTTTCCTCCTTCGCAGCGAATGAATAACTTAGTCTACCGGTGGTTCTACGTGCTCTACAAATTCCGTACCGTACCGTATCCGAAGTAATCGCGCAACGCCCAGTCACCGGACAAACACGTCAGTGAACCAGCACCGAGTTACTATATACTTGTGTGAGTGCCGTAATATAGGGTCGATAGAGATAAAGTAGGGCAAATTGTCACACTTGTACGGTACCTACCCCTCTCTTCTCCTCCCCCTTCTCATCCTCGCACATACCGGTGCATTGCTTTGACCACGATAGTACCGCTCATCCACTACTCACGAGACTTGATCTCGAACCGCTGATGGGGCGTCGGTAAGTGCTGTGTTGCATCGAATCGTACAAGAGGAGGAGGAGGCTCGTTAGTGTGACCCCGCACTGGCTGCAGTATTCTTTGGTAGCCTGATGGTATTGCGGGGTTGGTTGTTTGGTTTTGTGGTGATGGGAGGCGGGGTTGGTTGGTTGGTTGATCGGTTGGTGGGTGCAGGGTGGTTGAGGTCGGGGTGGCTTGTGGGGGGG